GTCTGGGGCAATGCGAGGGTCTGCCATCGTGTCCAGTCTGAGCGTCTTTTTCTGGAAAACGGGATCTGCGACCTCCCTTCGGCCTCTGGGCCAAGCCTGCACAGACCTGGCCTCCGTGGTAGCTGCCACCTTCCCGTGTGGCTCCCCAGGGCCCGCTGTGTGGCCCAGGCCACAGGCTCACGGGCTGTGGCCATGGCCGAAGTCTGGTCAGCCTCTCACGGAGACGCAGGTGCCACATATCCGCTGTGAGAGAAGCCTGGCTCCTTCGCGAGTGGCTGGGCACTGTGGGACACGATGGGCTGGAACGCTGCCCAACGACCTCTTGAAGTCAAGTGTCAGCACGGTGATGCGTGCTGCCGACAGGGAGGCAGTCCAAGGGACAGGCGCGACGTGTCCATGTGCATTGGCCGCACTCTCGGGCTCCTGACAGCTGGCAGAGTGGACACCCATCCCCACGGAGAGGGAGCGTCTCCGGGCTGGGGTCATCCCATGGCCCAGGTAGGAGGAGCCTAAGCCTCACTGTACAGCACGAGCCCTGCCCTGCCACCTGTGGGGACACGCCCTCTCCCCCCGCAGCCCCAAGACCCTCCTGCCACTTTCCGGGAAGACACTGCTGTGAGATGCAACCACGCCCCCTTCCTTGTGACAAGTGACACGCCTGTGAATCAAGACCCGCGTTCCCTCGGTGGCTCAGCCTGTCATCCCGCGCCTTTGGGAGGCAGAGGTGAGTGGATGGCCTGAGCCCACGGATTCGAGACCCGCCTGGGCAGCGAGACCTCATCTCTACAATAAATCAAAAAATCAGCCGGGCGTGGTAGCATGCGCCTGTAATTCCGGCTACTCGGAAGGCTGAGGCGAAGGATCGCCAGAGCCCAGCGGGTCGAGGCTGCGGTGGCCGGGAGTGGCCACTGCACTCCAGTCTAGGCGATGGAGTGAGACTCTGACTCAAAAAAAAAAAGAGACTCGCGTTGCTGTGAGGGTGCCTGTGCCTCGCCAGGGTCACATCCCAGGCCCTGGGACTGCTGTGTGGCCCTGCGAGCACTGACAGATGGTCTGTGCCACACTGGCCCTGCGAGGCTCGTACCAGCCTTGCCTTCCCAGGCAGGCCGGCGTGCTGCCTGCCGCCCCCTCCGGCCGGGCACAGAGAGCCTGGCCCACTCAGGCTGCACAGCCCTGAGGGGCCCCAGGGGCTGTCTGGGACCTCGCACCTCGGAGGGAGGCGAGTCAGAGTCTGCATCACTCCCGGTGCCCGTGGGGTGGGGGCGGAGCAGGGGTGGCCCATGGGTCTCCGCGAGCAGCCCTGTCCTGCGGCTAAGAGCCGGGGGTGCCCCACTCCACGGGCAGGGGCAGCACGCCGGCCACTGGCCCGAGCCAGCTGCTGCTGCCGTGCCGCTCGGTCCCAGCGTCCCTCCTGGGCCCGCACCGATCTGTCAGCAGATCTGTCAGGCAGATCTGTCAGCAGCCCGGCTCTCCACCCACCCTCCCAGGGCCTGGCCCGGGTCCGTCCTTTCGCCGTCCCGCAATGCTTCCAAGCAGCTTTTCCCACTGCACCCACCGAGGAGATGTCCCAGCCTGGCCCACATGGACACGAGGCCACTGACCCCCGCAGCTGGTGCCAACATCAGGACGGCGCAGCCGGGCCAAGTGCTGAGTCTTAGGAAGGTGAGGCTGACTTCCAAATCTAAAACTACCTTTATTGAGGTTGGCTCGAAGCAGACATGCTGACGACCCACAGGATTATAAAACTGTACAGGAGGTACAAAACAGTGCACGAGCCTGTGTTGGGCTTGAAGTTCACACACAGGTTGTGCAATCTGGCAGTTCATAAAACACAGAGGTACAGAGAGGATCGGGGGTTCCCCAGAGGACTGAATCACGCAGTACACATGGATTGGATCGCGGCTACCCGGAAAAGACACACGGCAAGAGCTTTAAAATCACCTAAAAATTAAGATTCCACCTGCCCACATCGCTCACGCCCAGGGATGCGCCGCACGCCATCCAAGGAGGGCACCGCAGCCTCCCGCCTTTTTGATGGCCGGCCGCCGTCCAGGCAGATCCGACATGCTGTGAGCAAGTGTGGTCGCCACCGGGGACAGCTCAGAGCAGAAATTAAATAAATATAAATAGCTTAAATAAATAGGCATGGCAAAGGGAGCCACACAGGGCTTGCGTCTGGGGACCCTGCTGGGCGAGCACAGGGAGGGCTGGAGCTCGTGGGGGTGGGTGGTGGCTAAGGCTGGGGGTGCGGCCATGGCTCTTGGTCCATCACGCCGGAGCCCTGGCTTCAGAGAAGGTGAAGCCAGGAGGGGCACTTTGGTTTCGGGATGGAGCTCTGGCTGCTGGGACAGACACGGGGCTTCCTCTGAGGGCCAGTCCAGGCAAGGGACATGCCCCGGCACCTGCCCCTGGCCGCCCCCTGGACACTCACCCGGAACCCACCCAGCATCCAGCAGACACCCACCCGGGCACGCACCCAGCCCTGGAGGCTGTGGACACAGAACAGCCCTTCCCAGAGGCTCCAGGTGGGGATCAGATGACAGAGAGAGGGCGGGCCCCGAAGACACCACCCGCTGAAGTCCAGCTTCTGGGGGAATGTGGCCATGACGAGAAGGCCCTGATGCGAGGCCTGCGCCCACGAGAGTCGGACCACAGCCAGTGACGCCCTGTGGGAGGAAGACTCCCCAAGAGGGGATCGCACACACACCTGCCGGATCTGGCCAGGAACCACAATGAGCAGCCCTTCCAGGCCGTCCAGGGGGCTGGTGGCCGGCGTCTCGCCTGAGACCCTGATGATGGCTCCCTGAGGGTGGGGTGGGGCGGGGCAGTGCTCTACACCCGGAGTTTCATACCCTGCCCCTGGGCAGTTTATGGACACCAGGGTTCCCCAAAGTGCAAATACTTCTGTGCCTCGTGACACACAAGCTCTTCAAAAATGGAAACTGAAGGCTCAAGAGGCAGAAAGAGAAGCCATGATGCAGACACATTCAGACAAAGTGCAGCGTCCACTGCACTCCTGACAGGTGCGACTACACCCATCCTCGAATGAAAACGAGGTGTGGCGCTTCTGAAAAGCCACACAGCCTTCCAGCACAAGCAGCAGACGCAGAGCCGTTCTGGCCTGCAGAATGCACCCTGGGCACCGTGGGAAGCTGGGGCTCCGGGGTCCAAGATGGCAGAGGCCAGAGCAGGCCGGGTGCTCACGGCAGGTGCCCGGCAAGGCTCCAGCAGACAGAAGGTGCCTGGACAGACCGCGGCTCCTGGGACAGGAGGGCAGACCCTCAGCGTCCTCCCCGCCCCTTACGGCCCTCCTATGTACGCCTGTCGTCTCTCACCACTCACGGAGGCAGAGTTCTGCCGCTGTCCTCATCTCTGTCCCCTTGTCCTGGCCAGCTCGGACCAATGCGTGCTTGCGGGAAAGACATTGGATACTTGAGTCTGAGAAAGCTGGGCGGTCAGAAGCTGACGTGGTAAGAAAAAGGCCTTTGAAAATCTGCCACAAGGGAGCCAGGCTGAACCAGAGGTGGCATAGGACTAGGCTGCTGGAAGCCACTAGGTCCCGGAGAAGGCTCGGTGCTGGGAGACTCCTCTGCCTCAGCTCGGTGCTGGTTGTGGGCCAGGATAGTAGGGCTGGAGGGCACACAGCGGCCAGTGAGAGGACACCACAGTGCCAGGAAGCGCAGGGCTCCCGGGCCTGGATGAGGGCCAGTGACGTCCCCAGCAGGGAAGCGCCGCTTCTCCTGGACGCAGGGAAGGGCCCGGGCTCTACATGGGCCCAACTTGAGGACGCAAACATCCCACGAGAACAGTGGCTGCCCTGCCGGTGCGGGAGCCCTGTAAGCCCCTTCCTGACACAGACGCGCCTCCAAGTATCCCGACTGGGTGGCAGTGGCCCCAAGAACCCTTTCTCACACGGTCCTGATACCATGTTAACCCCTGAGGCTCAGGGAGAGAAGAGCCAGCAATTTCCGACTGAAACTAAAGTTAAAATTGCATTAACTTTAGCAAAACGCAACACAGCGCTGACGTGACCGTGAGATACCACGTGGGCACGTCTACACGGCGCTGTGACGGCCACTCCTCAGCACTGGAGAACGTGCCCACAAGTGCATTCTCAGAGCAGGGAGTGCGTATGGCACGAGCAGCAGACTAGCCCGCGCCCGCGCCTGCGTGGGGGCCCTCGAGTTAGCGCACTCCTGCCGGCACAGCATCCACAGCACGATCGAAGGAGGGTTCAACTGGGCCAGGAAAAACAGTGCTGGCCCCAGAGCACCCAGCGGCATGGCCGGGCCTGCTACTCTGCCGCCTCGGGACGGGGGCCTTCTTGCCTGCCCACTGGCTCGGGTCTCCGCCGAGGGGCTGAAAGGGCCCCGCGTGGCCGCCGCCCTCTGGGCTGGGGGGCCCGTCCCTGCCTGGGCCTTGGGTGTCCCCTGGCGGCTCAGGAGCCCCTCCCCACTTGCCCAAGCGTTCCCGAACGCCGCAGAAGCCTGGGCAGGCCCTGATCAGCCACCACTGCCTCTGGAACAGCGTCCTACCCGTCCCGGGAGCCTAATCTGCTCTGCGTGGCTGACCAGCCCGACGCGCATGCTCTCCTGCCTTCGTGGAAGCACTGTTAGCGGTGACCCGCGAGGTGCCTGCCAGGACACCTCCGAGCACCCCAGCTCCCTCCGCACCTGGGCTGGTGCGTCTCAGCCTAGCCGCTCAGGGCACCTAGCAAAGGCGCCCTCCCGGGTGTGCTGCGGGCCCCATCCGGCAGGAAGCAGTGCTAGCCTGAGGCGCGATCCTGCTGGAGGCCGCGGTGCCGGTGCTGGGTGTGCGGCCGAGAGCCAACATCCCCCCTGGAGGCCACGAGGGCGGCCTCTCCGCCCCAGGGTCGTCCCGCCAACGCTGGCCCCGGGGCTCAAGGCGCTTGGGGGAAGCCCGGCCTCCCGGCACAGACCAGGCCCTCAGTCACACGGGGCCCCCGGTGCGAGGGGCTGCTGGGCAGAAGGCCGCTGGCGTCACGGGGGGCCAGGGCTCGGGGGCTCGTGGCAGTAGTAGGGCTGGAACAGCCTTTCGTGGCCGCAGGGCTCCATGGCGCGATAGGTGTGCGACAGCAGGAGTGGAAAGCGTGACGTGAAGTAGCGCACGAAGTCGTCGGGGACGGCGCCCAGCGTCTCACGCACGTCGGCGGGCAGCTCGCGGTAGTGGTGCTTCTGCAGACGGGGGTGGGGAGCGTGGGTGTGCGGGCGGGCCGCCTCCCCGGCTGGGCCTCCCCCAGGAAGGAGGCGGCGAGGGTCCATCCGCCACCGTGCCCACGGGCCTGCTGTCAGGAGGCCAGGCCTGCCAGCATGCAGGGAGGCCAGGCCTCCGAGACGCCAGGACCAGAGAGGTGCCTGGGGCTCAAGTGCGGCCGAGCTGTCCCAGTGTGTGTGAGGCCCTGGCAGAAGGCTGCCGGGTGAAGTGGGGCCAGAGCAGCCCAGGGCCACTGGGAGCAAGTGCTGCCTGGCCGGAGGCCCCTAAGACAGGGCAGTGCGGGAAGGTGTCGGCGGGCCCCCTGGAGGCGTCCACACGGCAGCTGTGCCAGGCAGGGCCCGGACACGTGGCAGGCGGCAAGGCCCCAGGGACATGGGCTCTGAGGGCGGTGCTGCCTGTCCTGAGGGTGGCGTGGGCGGAGAAGGGCGTCCGTGTCGTGGCCACGTAAGCGTACCTTGTTCCTCAGGGCGCGGAGGAGGTCTCTGACGGAGCCACCTCTGTAAGTCCGGAACTTGCGCAGATCTGGAATGGCGTGAGGTGAGGTTAAGTGGGCCACGGCGACGGACGAGTGTGAGGAGGCGGCTCCCGGGCTGAGGGGCTGGGATCGGGGGCAGAGCCCGTGGGGCCTGGCGTGGCGCCCGTCCCGCGCCTCCTGCGGCCGCACCGATCAGCTGCGACAGCTCGAGCAGGCTGTGGCGCTCGTCTGTCACGCTGGGCATGGCGTGAACCCCGTGAGGGTGACCCTGGGCCATCCTGGAGGGCGGGTGTGTGCACCTGTCTGCAGCGGCGTGGTGATGTTCTCCCGCCAGTCGGACCGCACCACGGCCCGCCCGCCGCGCTCCAGCTGCCTCACGATGGGGCCATCTGGGGCTTCCTTCTCGATCCGGTCACTCACGTCCTGGAGGGAGCAGGGCAAGGGTGATGGCCAGGCTAGGGATGCCAGGGCTGGGCTTGCGTGAGGAACACAGTGGTGCCGGCCCATGACGTGACCCCCACAGAGCCGGTGTGGGTTGGCTCCCGCCTCGCTCCCTGAGCAGCTCTGGGGGACAGGCCTGCAGGGACTGTCTCTGTGACAGACAGGTGGCACAGACGCATGCCTGCCAGATGCAGACCAGAGATGCACCACTGCATCTCACACGGGCCCACCGCATGGAGAGCCGCGCGTGCAGTCTACAACCGCGAGGAACACAAGCAGGGAGGCACTCGGGCCTCAGTGCCCGTGCCTGGG